ACCCAGTGAAGCTGCAATGACCATTCTTCTTGAGGATCTATTCAGTCTCTATTCAGGGACTGACCTTGTTCTTCAGTATGCTAAAATGGAAGGAAGCATTGCCTATGTTCCCTATGTTGCCTTTAATGTTGACATATTGGTTAGAAGACCTAGCAATTGTTTTGATTTTCAAGCTGTTTTTTTTTCTTGATTTTTTCTAATGTGTATACTATGTATTGAAAGTAAAATATATGTTTTAATTTTAGCTTTCATTATATTTAGACATAATTATATTGTGAATAATAATTGAAAATGATCTTTCAATCAGAAAAACTTTAATAAAGTTCTTACAGTGTCCCATGAAAGATGAACATTTAGACCAATAAAGCAAGGAAGGTGTCATCTGAAAAAAAAAAAAAAAAAAGATACCTTATTAAGCTTTGCTATTTTTTGCTAATAAAGCTTAAGCTTTGATACCTTATTTTGCTTACAAGAAATTAATGCCAGAGGCCCGTCAGCTAGTAAATATGTAAAATAATCCTTAATAACAACGATTTGAAAAGTCATTAACTTAATCATGGACTTCATCAATATTCGCTTACATATATGGCACGGACTTTGCGGTTTCTCCTTCTCTGTCGTAGCGTATTCCAGTCAAGCATATTCCCTTTGCCTCTGTTTTCAGAGATGATGTTTTTATTTGGTTTTATCTAATAAATTTGAGAGCAACAAAATGGTGATTACTTACTTAGTATCAGCTATTTATACGTTTTTCACCACTAATATGCGTGACCTTGAGCCAAACCCAGTAACAAGAGTCCTCAAAAAGTCCTTTTTAACAGGAGTTAGAGGGAAACTCTTTTTTCTTGCAGCAATGTGTGTATTGAAAGAGAAACATGGTGACTGTTTCACTTGTCTGTTACCTCGTTTTTATTTTGAAGAAGCAAGCCCATCAGTATGTTAAACTAAGCTTGTTTGTAGCAAAAGATCAATACAGAATAAAATAAACTACAGGAAAGTAACACTTAAAAGCGTGAAGGTTTGTGTTTGTTTAACAGAACTTTGAGATCATGATTAATCATCATGAAATTACTGCATGAGATACCTAGTGAAGTCAAGGTTTTAGATTTTGATTAGAAGTAGTTGAAAGATATTTTTGAGTTGTGTTTACTCAGAAAAGCAGAAAGGACACAGGTGTAACCAATATTCATCCTGCTATGGTTCTAGAGGTTCCAATAACTGAATAACTTGTAGGAGAGGATGTTAATATGTAGTCCATTTGGGTCCACTTTCTTTTTCTTGCAGAATTCTTTTTAGTAAAATGCGTGTTAGACCTTGTGCCTTTGCAAATATTTTACATGATAAAGACAAAGGTCCTCATACCTGAAATCTTGAATCTCAACGTCTTGAACTTCACCCTGGGTCTCTTTTCTTTTTCAAACAAAATCTAGGTAAAGATAAGGTACTTGTGCAGAATCTTTTCATTAAGGAATAAACTAACAGGCTGTTCATTTGGGGATTTGAAGCAAGTAGGGTCAAAAGCCAAGCGCATCCAAAGATCATTCAGGCATTACCGAAAAGTTACTGAGGAGCTCCTTTCTGGTTTATGTCTTTTATAGAAGCAGCTTTCCTAAGGCACAGAATTGAGAGAAAGTAAGCAACAGAGCTGTTGCACTGCCAACTGTTATTAGCGAGATTTAGGATGGTCCCTTCACCCTTTAGGTAGCAATGTCATGTGAGAATGTTGCAAGGAATGACAATCAGTAAACATCTTTTAAAGAATTACATACATATCATACAACATTTTCTTAAGGCTTTGTGCTATAAGAATAGTAATGATAAAAAGTCAATGACCCCAAAGCTCCTAAATGCCAATGGTAATATAGGTGTATTTGCCCCCTTACACACAAATATATGTGTGTCTATCTAGATATGAAGTAATAGCAACTTTAATTACAAGATATTCTTCCAAAGACTTCCTGCTAATTAAGTAAGATTATTCTAGTACTCTGAATTTGAACTTTTGAATACAGTGTACAAAAATTATCATTACTTTTAGAAATATTTTGGGTTTACTCAAAGTAGATGTTGCATTCAAAATACAGCTTTAAAAGGTCCACTGTTTTCCTAGCCTTTCTGTAACCCACCTTCACTTGAAAAATTTGTCAGTGATTCGTCTTACTCTGGTAAATTGGTGATGGGCAAGGCTTCCAAGTAAAGAGACTTGAAAGGAGTATTCTTTAAAATGTTTTGAGAAATTACCTGTATAACTCGGTGCATTGCCTACCTGTATTGCGAACAAAAGTTATATCTCGTTATGAGAGATGTCTGCAGTTCTTGAAGGTGGGTAGAAGATAGAGAAAGCCACTTACGATGCTTGGGGAATGGTCTGTAAAGTATGAGAGATGGTAGCTGTGATATAGTCTGATAGTCTGGCTGTTGAAAGGTGCTATCTGTCCCTAAAGTGTTTTGGAATATACTGGGAGTAAAGAAGAAATGTATGCAGATGCTCGCTGTGGATTGCCAAGCATGTTTTGAAGGTCAGAAGAGAGAAAGTGTTGAGATTTGGCTGGTGTGACTGCCAGCACAACAGTGCACAACTGGAGCAATGTTCAGATTGGAGAATTATTCTGGCAAGATAGTGCTCAAATTACGGCCATAGTCTGTAGGGGCCACAGATCCTGGTGATGCAGATGTCATCAAGGGATAGGGTACTGGGATGATACTGTGATATTAAAGTTGATTGAATGTTCTGAGATGCAGGCAGAGAGATGGAAGGATTGGATCATTTGCAAAGCATAAGAAGTTGTAGTAGATTATAAAATTTCTGTTTCTGACCTTGGTCAGATACAATCTCTTAACTATTGGTGTAAGATTAAAAATTCTTCCAGCAAATGTAGTATCTATCAGAACATTTCTTGTATCTGAGGATATATGTGTTACTAGTTTTTAATAATTTAATTTGTTTTGTGGCATGTGTTTAGAAAATATTCTGAAATTTAGCACTGTCTAGGTAAATCCCCTTAAAGACTGGTTATGAGGTGAGGTGCTGGCAGAGTTTTCAAGGTGTATGCTGCATGCATCTTACCAGCTAGCACTGTGACACAGCATATGCCTACGATGAGTGTTGCTACAACATGAATGTGTTAATGAATATGCATGTTATAACATATAGGTATATAACACATTCATGTTATATGCGTGCACATCATATCAGAAATGTTTGCACAGTGTGGGAAAATCATAATCAATGTGGAAAGTGTAACTTCTTATTTAAGCTGCAAAATAAATAATATACAACAGATTTATAAATAAACAAGGGGAAGGATGGGAGGAAGGAAGCACGTAAGAGCAAGTGCATAATCCTCACTCTGCATTTTAAGAATGCTTTTATTTTCGTGTCTAGGTAAATCTGCAGTGCATTCTTCTAGGTTAATGGTCCAGAAAGTGAGTTAGTTTATTTTTGTTAGTGAGTGCAGAGTACCATTATCTTATCAGCATTAACAAATGTTGTAACAGACCTGTAATTTTTTTTGTTGCACTACTTGTTCAAGTTGCTTAGCAGTTGTGGGAAAAATTAAACAGAATCAGTAAAGGCAATTTGAGCAATAATGACCCAATTTCCAATAACTGTTAAATCTCACACTGCCTACAAGTGTTTTAGTTGTAGCAAAAACCCTGTATGCTCTCTGCTGCGTGTCAGAGGTGAGATTTCATATGTACTAAGTTTACTTGTTTTTTATTTTAGATACGACAGTGATGGGTGGTGTCCGCCTTTGCCAGTTCAGACCTACTTACATCAGGGCATGGAGGATGAGCTTGAAGAAGACGATGATCGTGTTCCCACACCTCCTGTCCGAGGGGTGGCTTCGTCGCCTGCGATCTCCTTTGGCCAACAGTCAACTGCAACTCTCACACCGTCGCCACGAGAAGAGATGCAGCCGATGCTTCAAGCCCACCTGGACGAGTTAACCAGGGCCTACCAGTTTGATATAGCAAAGCAGACATGGTAAATGTTTGAAGGGGGCACCTGCAGCCTGGGGAAAGAAAACGTAATGGCAGTTTATTACTAAATGACATAACTGTTAACTGCATGCAACAACATTTCAGTAATGTTTACAAAACCATGAACTGGAAGACTAAATAGCAAGTGTGCATCGCCAGTGCAAAGGCTTTATACGTTAATGGATGCTTTCTAAAGCTTAACTCTTAAAAATATATGAAACCTTGACTAAAACTATGTAACGGTTTTATTAATTTGGCGTTTTGGCAAATACACAGCTGCCTGGTTAGCTCCCATCTACGGACAGTTATCATCAATACAGTTCAAAATATTGTCTTTTCAGGAAATGAAATTAATTTATTAGAATTTCCAAAAATACTGGGATTCTAAATATCTAAGCATAAGGCCAGTCACTTACAATAGCAGTATAGCAGCTCTTACCCTGTGTAGTGGGAGAATGAAGCATTTATATATCCAACAGTATTCTGAAATACCAGGAAAATTTCTGATTCAGAGAGACAAACTAGAAATAGCAGGAAGGAAGTTGTTAGAATTTACAGAATGGATCTAGTGTTTTCGAATGCTTCCTGCCTATTTAGAATGAGGAGCAGGCAAATATCACAGTAACATTTTCGCTGTAAAACAAACAGAAGCAATCTCTTCAGGGACTGAAAAAGAACTTGTCAACTGCGCCGGGCTGGGGATACGGTGAAGGTCAGTTGCTTTCTGGATATTCCCTAAGTGGCAGTTGTCCTTTTAAAACTTTTCAACCCAGGCAAAAAAAAAAACAGAGAGAGAGATATGGGGAGCATCTCAGAGGATGAAAGCACAGCTAGTTACCGCATGGCGCTCTGCCAGGGAAGGAGCTCGCTTTCCCTGCTGGTAAACGAAGCCGGGCGATACCCAGCTTGAGGCGCCGTACGCAGAGCCGGCAGGTAGGCCGGCTGCGCCCGAGCGGAGCCAGCTGTTTTCCCCGGGCCCCGCGAAGCCTCGGGGCTTGCCTGCAATCTGGGCCGCGTCGCGGGACGCCTCGG